TGATTTGTAGCCGATTTAGAGAGACTACACACTACTAAATCCAAATTCATTTTTATTCGATTGGGATTTATATAGGGCCATCTCTTGGGCTAAGCTAATTTTATATTTACATATATGCATATGCACGGCGCCTGGCTAAATCAGTTTGTGGCATGACATATATCATATCACATATATCACCCTAGATCCCTGCCAATTCTTCGATAGTTCTAGGAGAGTTCCAGGAGCTGGCGAGTTTCTATAAATCACGAGATGATCGGCCAATCAGATTTCAGATTTTTTCTTTAGCTGGATAGCCTTTGATCTAATGGAATTCAGGAAAATTATTACAACTATTTTTCTGATGGTAGAGTCTGAACATCGTGTTCGGGCTTGTCAAAATTGTGCAGAAGATGATGCAGTATCTTTGAAAAGATTTCGGGATGATCTAACCATTTTGGCAAATTATTTTCCGTGATGTTTAGCAAAAGTATTTTATATTGTATTTAGTAGTGGCATGTAGAATAAACCCGATATGGGCAGATATACAAATGCTTTATTAATATATGCTTATAAATACACGTGAACGAAAATCTATTTTTTCTGATGGTAGAGTCTGAACACGGTGTCCAGGCTCGCCAAAATTATGCGCAGTACCTTCGGGATAATCTAATGGAAAATTATTTTCCGTGATGTTCGGCAAATATTATATTTAGCAGTGATCATTGATACATGTCAGACACTTTAAAATAAAAATCCCAAAATGCTTTATTAATACATGTTTGAAATACACATGCAAGAAATACTATTTTTTTCTGATGGTAGAGTCTGGACACCGTGTCCAGGCTCGTCAAAATTGCGCAGAAAAATAGATTAATCACATGGCGCAGTAGTCAGCAAATTAGTCATGATTTTTTTTATTCGAAATTTTATTGGAAGTGGCAAGTATGAGATCAATTTATATTACTAGGCAGATATGCAAATGCTTTATTAATATATGTTTGAAATACAACTGCTACTCTAGTCTGTCTTATTTATTAAATCATTAAAAATAAATTTGCAGTAGTTCTCCGATCACAAACTTATGTAAGTTTACACGAATTTACAAAATATTAGTATTTTCTGTTATTTCTAACAATGCCTTCCTAGACGATCTCTCATAAAATTGTTTAACTATAGCACTAAATTTTTCTAACCACTTCCCTTCATCAGTTATTTTCCACCTACTCGCATTCTCAACAAACGCAACAAGTGATTTTAGCTCTCCCTCTAACTTGCCTATTAATTCTGAAAACGACATTTTCTCTCCAAACTTGATAAATCCAATGATTTGACACAATCCGTCGTAGTCCTGAATAATTGATCGACATGGATCGGAGTGAAGTTGCAACGGAGTTGCAAGGCCAAAATCAATAAGATAGAAATGGCCATTTCTTTGTATAACGTTTCGTATGGCCACATCTCCATGCGTGTAACCATGGGAATGTATCTTCTCCAAGCACGATAATAGATCCAGAATTATGTGAAAAATTGTATAATCATCTATATTACCGTTATCAGAAATCCATGATTCTAGGGGTTGTCCCGCAAAATCAGTTAGTAAAGCCAGGGATCCTTCCATTGTATAACCTTCGAAGAGAATTGTGGGAACGCAAGAAAGATCACCTAGTGCATGCAATGCCAATATTTCACAGTAAGTTCACAAAGCCTGAAATGTTTGCGAAACTTTATTTAAAATAAATTTCAGAGTAATATTGAGTAGCAAGCGAAATGTATAATGTTATCAAAGAGGGAGGGAGTACGCGGATCCTAAGCCATTTAATACGAGTCCCAGCATCAAGTTATTTCTTTGCTCTCTCACGTTTACGAAAAATATCTATAGCTAATTTGTTTCTATTGCTAATATTTCTAATTACAAGATTCTCATCCTTATACTCTTTTTCTACACTAGATTTTCAAAATAAATTATCCCACCCATGTCTACAGGATTTTGTCTATCTATATCTCTCTCAAATACGCAGATTATGTAAAATAATATTTTATGTAATGAAACTTCTCAGAGATTAAGTAATTTCGAATCTATGGATAAATTCGGGAGATTAGCAATTGAGGTAAAAAAATATTTCTGATTCATATTTACCATTATTATTAATTTTCGTAATATTACATTTCACCTGAAATTTATTATTTAATGTATTACAATAAAGGTAATTCAATTTTTTTATTACCCGTACGATACTGCGCCAAATACTAAGAATTATTATTGTTAACACATTACGCCAAATTTTGTTAAGAAGTGTGATGTTAAAGCATGTGATAAGATTTATGTGAATAGTTTCATTGCGTCTATTGTACGCGTGATTGTCAAAGATTTTTTTGGCGAAGATCAAAATGCCAATATATAACAAGAAGAGTAATATGCCCGTTTTATTTTAAAACATTTATAGAGGCAGGAAAATCGATTAACATCGTGATGACATGTTTCAAGAAGCTAGCCGAGTAATAAACTAACTTATTTTATTATGACTTTGTGGAAAATGCAAGTTCGTTTGATTGTTAATATCAATGATTTTAATAATGGTAAGCTTAATTGATTTGAATTTTTTTTGCTTTTTTACTTGCATAAGGCAGATAAAAGGATTTACTAGCCGGGACATCACCTTTTTATACAATTCACAGGATCGATCTTGGAATAAGCTTTTGGAGAAAATTACATTAATATGATCGCATCACAAAAATCTGATCAACGACATCCCCTTAATTTAACAATAAAGAATTTAACACTATTCATATATAAGGATCATCAAGGGGTTATACATAATTTTTGAGAATGTGCAAGAAAGTTTGAGAATAAATTATTACTTATTCCCATGATAAATGTAAAGATTACTATAATATTACTGCATATTGATTTATCAAGCTATAATAAAAAAAATAATAGCATAATTTGCTTCACATAATTCCTAAAATGTCTGGTAAATTTGCACCATTGCTTTATTGATCAAATTACTTGAGGACATTCACATCGCTTATAAATTCCTTCTGCTACCTTCTTATACCTTTTGCAATACAGATGTGAGTGATGATCGCATTTCTCACAAACCTTACATCCATGCTTCCATTTCCTAAATATATGCCATTTTTCAAAGTAGTTCTGCCTTAGCAAAGCGCCTTTCAGCTCTTTATAAGCTGTACTATCCTGATTGTATGTTAAGAGATTCAGCATGATATATAAATATTAATATAATAAAAAAAAATTCTCATATGACCAAAATTTCATTTACCTTAGAATTTGCACAGTCCTATTATTTTGGCAGTGCATTTATCATGGCAATGAGTACATTTTTTCGGGTGATTGATTTCACATGATCTGTTTTCGTCCTATGTTACAGTACAATTGTGAACTTTAGTTTATTGCTTGAAGTGTTGCAGGTAAGACAATATTCCAACTTATCTTGAGAATAGAACTTCGCTAATTCAGGATCATAAGGGAGCTGATTTCCATTTTCGCAGTACCATTTACCATGTAATCCATAATTTCCATATTTTCCATTGCAAATAGGACATGGTGAGCTCCACGGCTGAGGTGATGCAAAATTATAATTATCAATCCCTCTGAAACTATTTTAGAATTTTAAGTATGTGAAATGCTCTAACATGGATTAGATAATTAACTCTGAATCAGGTTTGGCTTCAAAGATGATAGGCCCTTTTTCTTCACATTGTTTAGAAAAAGATAAATAGGATACTTTGTTTTCTGGCTTCGAATTTATGAGAAGGCTGGCTTCTGATGCATGCGCTTCTGATAATTACCATGACTCATACCCAGTTTCTTTTTTATATTTTTTGTATAAATTAGACTGAATCTTATCCATCAAAACACTTGGTAACCCAGTTAATTTGGTATGCCAATCCAGATATTCAGGAGTTAATATTTTATTAGATTTGCTCATGTTTCCTTTTTTTTCTATGATTACAGATCAATTTAAATTAGGTAATAGTTTACATGTGTAAAAAATAATGAGACTATGAAATTATCTCAATTTCACGCTGTTCACACTTAATAAAATAGGATCTAGCCTTATATCTACCTTCTATACTTTTCTCATCATCGTGATCTAAACTGCATAATGGGCAAGTCCTTTTAGGATTGCAAGATGTCTTGTCAGTAATACTATAATAGTCAAAATTTTCACTACTAAATTCTCTATATAAAGTAGAATATTGGTCTAATGTCTTATTGCGAAAATAGGATCGGTCATAAGTAGTTCTAGGAATTGATGAACGAGATGTGGTAGAAACGTTTACCTTAAGTTTCGAAGATGCATCACCATTGGTGGTTTTCAAAGGCACGTGACTCTGATCATTTCCTGAGAAAACGGTTTTTGAAGTTACTTGATCTATAATATTTTGAATTTGTTCGTTAATTAATTTTGAAATCTCATTTGCACTGCAATTGACACACTTAATCTTATCAATCCCTATACCATTCTCTCTAAACAATTTGCGAATTTTTTTGGCTCTAAGAGTTTTAATTCGCAAGGCAATATCCATACTAGGATATAACAGCTTGCCTCTGAGTTCTTGTATAATGATATCTTCGTTAGGAGATCTGATTTGAAGTAGTTCTAGTTTTCCCAGTTTATCGTCACTTTCCCAAGAAATATCAACTCTCTAAAAACGCAACTTATTTGCATCAATATCACCGAAACATTTTATTTTTTCCAAAAATTATTTCCTTGAATCTCGAAACAGTAGTTTTTTCATCTTCTGTAACCTCGAAAGAGGTATCAACACTGTTACCTGCGACAAAACAAAAGACTATAACGTCGCGATGTCTACAATAAAAAGTAAAAACTTTAAGAAGAAAGAGGTACTAAATTTGCAGAACATTATATACTTTATTCGAGTATTGATAATCTTGAGTCATAGATAAATCGAACGTATTATTGATAAGTTTGAGTCATACCATATTGCGCTTATTCCATGATGATTATTCGCCAAATTATTTTCAAATATTAAAAAATTTGATTGATCTGTCATTTTAGAAATGATTACAAATAAATACGGTAAGATTACTTAGTTGACTTCTGACTCTTAAGCAAAAGGCCAGTTCATGGCCGTTTGATCAGCACGAAAGAAAAGTTTTCATCAGGGCAGATATTTATATAAAATTTTCATCGATCTGACTAATATGACTTTGTGTATACAACAGAAAAATAAAGTGTAGTACACTCACGAACACAGCTTTTTTCTTAAGCCTAATATTATTTTCTCCGAGCTTGAACTCAGTTTGAAAGAAGCGTTGACGAAGAATTACTGAAATTCTGGACGAGACACACAAATAAGGTATGAATGTTTCGATTGTGACTGTGTATTTGCAATAAATCTTGCAAAGCTAATATCTATTTTTTTTTGTTCAGGGCGAAGAACATAAAATGTTGATGAGTTTTACCAAGGTCAATATTGTTAATTTATTTCTGACTCCGCGTATTCAATGCATAATTGACGACCATTTTATTATATCCAGAATATCAACGTTGGGGCAAATGAAATCGGATTAGAGTTAATGTTAGAATATTATGTTAGTTTAGATGAACAAAACATTTGTGTGCTATATAGAAATGCCATTTCACTTTTTAAAACAAGTTTATGTATCATTAAACTATGTAATTTATTTTCTGTATCAATAAAGTCACATTTAACAGTGTAATTATTTCCTTGTTTATATTTATACTGACAAACTTTTGAATTATTTATACCCTGTATAAAACAATATCAAATGCTCAATCTATTAATTCATTAAGAGAGTTGAATGCTAAGTTCTTAAATGAGATTGCTGAACTCAGAAAGAAGTTTACTGAAATCGAAAGCAAGAATGTTGAGATTCCTGAACTTAGGAGGAAGGTTGTAGAGGTTGAGGCTGAAAACGCAAAGCTAAGGCAAATTATTGAAAAGAATGCCAGGCATGATGTTAGAGTCAAGAAACTAGAGCAAAAAAATATATAATACTTGAAAATGCAATTAGATCGATTAATAAAGACATACTCTACTATTAAGGCCAAGCCTTTTCAGATCATGAATACACTCACAAACTTATTCTTATATGCACTAATACTAAACAGACAGATAGATTTTTACCATATATTATATTAACCTGCTTCTTTGCATCAAAATATGTGGCAGATAAATGCTTAGAAAAATTACAACAAGACCATAAAAAGGAACTATTCAGTTTTATCAATAATGTACAGGACATAGAACAATTGGGTTGTTTGAAATGATCGCGCATACGATTATTCGTCAAGGAGGAAGGTTTCAAGTACATGAACTCACAAAAGAATATAATGGTTCTGAGGATACTCATGATTTTGGGTCTTTAGAAGAAAAATTTTTTGAAGAAGTTAATGAAATACAGGGAGAAAAATATTTTCGACCAACTTCAAAGATTTTTGAAAGTATAGATAGCTATTCTCCTACAAATAATCTATTTTAAGTCACCGTTTCTAAGAAGCATAGTATCAAGCAAGAAGGGCTGAGAGAGATCCGTAAAGTCTTAGATATAAAAAAAGAAGTTCACATTTACTTTGTATTACCAAAGGATATATTTGCAAATTTCAAAAAAAACAGAATTATGAAAATAAGGAGGAAGGAAAGGTATTCGACTCTTAGATTTATGACATAGTACAGTATGCATTGTGCGTAAATCTTAAGTATTAATTGATTGCAATGTTACAAATTAAAACTTTCTTAATTATTATCATCATTAAAGAGTAACTATATTTAGTGATAGACTTAAAAATTACTTGAGCGAAAATTTCATAATTTGTGTTATAAAATGATCCTAATCTATTATATGAGAGTTTCCTCCTACTACTCCTACACCTACACCTAATGCTAATTTTTTCACTATCTACTTTGATTCTGTTATGTTCAAAATAAATTATCCACATTCCATTTCTATATCTATGTTACAAATTTTGCAATTATGTTTAGTAGATACAATTTCAGATCTATCGCAAAAATTTCCAAGTAAATAACTCTTTATACTATATTTCGTTTTCATAAAATTCCATTCCGTCTTACATTGAAGAAATTTCTCGTGAATGTTATTCAGTGTATGGTACTGCTATATAAAATCAACAAGAGACTAATGCACGTAAAACTTTGAGTATATGCAGGAAAGTTCGACAATTACTTGTTTCTTTGATAATGATATTGTTATTCATTAGGAAAAATTAGCTACATGCACGTTGTTACATTATCACATCATAGGTGCAACCGTGAAGAATCTTCACGATCAAAAATTATGTATTCAATCCCTATTTACCAAAACTTTTTATTGCAATTTTTTTTCTCAACAGCGGATTTATCTTCATATAATCTTAAGTCAAGATGCATGATGTCATGCAGTGATTATGAAGAATGAGGTATTACCTCATCAGTGTCATGTGAAAAAAATTTTTATTGATACATGCGAAAAATAAATACAAAGTTCAGGACTTTGCCTGTGATACATGACTAAATTCTATCCTATGATCTGCACGCAAAATCATTCCTTAATAAATTTTTAGTCCTAACTCTCTTACTATCTGAAGCATTATCAACTTTGATCCTATCCTTCAACAAATCCACAATTACTTCCATGACCTTTTTAACACCTCGTCGAAGTTCTGCATCATCTTCCAAAACATTCTCAGTAAGTGTGATGTAGTAGTCGACTTTCGAGTAATAAATTCTTTTTGGAATATATATGAGGAAGTGGTTATTATAGAAAAACAATAAAGTTAGTAATGTACCTTTTCTACCAAGAAGCCATATCAAACCTACCTGTAGTAATGATTCCATATAGATAATCGAAATCATCATCAAATGCTTCAGATACTTTCCTCTTTCTTGTATTTGTATGGTGGGAACTTTTGAGTTGCATTACGTTTTGCACGAAACTTGTCACCAAATCCTTCTGTTTACCCTCAGTTATAGCTATCAGCTTCTCGTTCACAACGTCTATAATTTTCTTGATTGCGTAGTCAATTCGACCAGATGTTTCTTCACCTACAACTTCGAGTTAAGGGTCTATAGTAATTCGTTTTTCGGTAATTCTTCTGGCGATGAAAATTGATGCATACAATATAATAGAAATATATTCATAGTACACAGCTTCATTATTACTTGTTGTTGAACCTATGAGATGTTATTCTGCATTTTATCTCAGTTATACACTGCACTAACTCCTCGTCTTCATCATCAATTTTCACAGGCTCCGGTACAAAGGGAGAGATCTTTTTTATATTATTAGTGTCAATTCCATACTTGCGCAACACCTCATTCAAGTCTTTTTTGGTCTTGTACGTAGAGAACACTTTTAATTTTTTCTCCTTACAGTCTTTAACGAACTTCACGAGGGTCATAGCAGGTCCTCCTTTCATGCTATATTCTTGAAAATCTTGCTTGGTTATGTCAAGGAAGTTCGAACCATTAATCTCTTCCTCTTCTAAAATTTTGAGAGCTGTCTTACTAAGCCCCAAGTCTTGACCCTTCAAAAACTCGATAAGCTTGGCTGTGTCATATTTTTTAATATCGTCCGCCAATGAGACTGTCTCATTTTCAGTAACAGAAGTAAAGGCGGGCGTATTAGTTTCAGACATAGTGCTTTTTATATGGTTATTAGGCTCAGACAAAAAATAGTGTTACTTTCCGGAGTAAGATAAAATTTTATTTCTGTTCAGAAAAAAGAATACTGGCTATTAATATAGGTTTTATGTAGCACAGACATTGCATCATTACACGTGACCCATTTCTTATGTACAGTACAATAATAATACTTTATTTATAAAATAAATCATTGCCGGAAGTCAGCCTACAATACATAAAAAATTGGACGTTAAGGCGCTTTATATGAATATATCGCTATTATATGATGTGAATAAAAAATCTAATTATCTTTGCTTAGTACCTTTGGCACCCTTTCAGCGGGAGGGTACACAATAACATTAATTCCCTTTTCACTTTGAAATGAAAGCTTGGGTCGGCCATTAAAATAACTATAAATTGCGTTTTCTGGGTCTATCAATTCTGTATCACCTAATATAGCAACATTATCATTTATTAAATTGTGAATTATGACACTATCAGCATTTTCTTTATTCTTATATAACTTCAACCTGCTCGAATCAATATTCTTAAATAGATCTAGATGACAGTTTCTGATTGCCTCCGCGAGAGAAGAGACTCGATTATTATTAGCGTTAGATATTGTTACACTGAAAATACCATTCACATTCTCATCAGAAATTAAACAATTAAGAACAATGTCACCAACAAGAAGCTTTTCAAGCTTGTCAGAAGTCTTGAACTTATCAGGGACCTCAGCCTTATCAGTCATCTTGCTTTCCTAAATACAAGGCTCATAGTGAGAAAAAACTTGCTCTCATACATACATAACTTCTAGCATATACATACCTTAAATTTTTGTGGAAAGGTTGGCTGAACTTTCACATACCATTACAGCTTTATATTTTGCTAGGAAAGATAAGGAGATAAGAATAGTGATTAGCATTGTCGTATGATACTAAGAGCTCTTTGAAAGCACATGCAAATGGAATCCTCTTACCTTTTCACATGTAGATCTACTGGAAAGACATATACTTAATTTTACGCCTGGCGATCTCGAAATTGCAAGTCCCTCAGCCTTTCATAACATATGCTTTTACTGGCACTATTTACTTGTAAGGAAGGTCCTGTATTACATATAGACTTCCTTTCATATTTTTCTCATGTTTGTTCGGGAAAAAAATAGAGATACTGGTTAGCATATATATTTTCTTTTCGTTATATGCAAAAATTAATATATCGCACAAGACCTGATTGATGATCCACTTATTTTTCTGTCACATAGGAGTAACCTGCTTGTGACGCAAAAAAATTCTGATCAATGATCACCGCTCTGGACTATTAATCTAGCTAACCCTGAATCGGAATACCATTGCAAATTATCTCGCATACTTAGATCTAAGAGGTTTTGAAGGCTCTGAGCTAAAATCTGTCTACTAGCAATATTGTTCTATGTAAGATGATTTCTAACCACTCAATGAGATCAGGAGGCGTTAAAGTTTCCACAAAATTCTCTACGTAAATATCTGAATTTAGCTGATTCATAGCTTTTTTGCTAATATTATAACACCCCTCAAATTAAGATATTTTAAATTAAGACATGATCTGGCAATTTCTTCGATAGTTATATTGCTAATTTTACAAAAGCTAAGGTTAAGATGCTGGAGCCTTAGGCAAGAACGAATAATATTACAAATTGATATTTCAGAAAATTCTGTGCAGTTAGAAATGTTTAGATATTCTAATTTATGGTATGAATTTGCGATTGCAGATATACCTATATCATTTTCTGATTTAAATCTTCTACGTAAAGCAGATATATTAAGATACTCCAAATTTGGATATGATTTTGCTATTAGCTTTAGAACTTTACCTATATTGTTCATACTTCCTTTGAAATCTAAATGAATTATATTTTGGAAAGTATACACAATGCCTTTGATTTTTTTATTTGAAAGTAAAGGGTAGTGTGTTATTTTAAGATGAGTTAGTTTTGAGCTATAAACTAGTTTTCTTCCTCCTCCAGGTACTATTTTTAAAAATCTTTTCAATTGAAATTTATCCTCTACTTTGTCCCCTTTAGCTCGATGCGTTTCCATAAAATAGGACCACCGCATCTGTACCAAAATCAGAAAACAAATAGGGTGGAATAAAGTGACTTATCTACTGCTGAGAAATGTAAAATCTGCTTTAATAGTTCTAGTATAATAAAAATTCGTAAATGTGTCATAAATAATATATGCTATATCTTTAATCGAAAAAATAAATTTTCTGAGTTGGATCAGACTCCCAGATATCCACTCAGCTCAAAGTAATCGAACACGCCTATAACTCTATCCTGTCTTATGTTCTTGATAATGATTAAGCCAGTAGCCTATCATATGTGTGTTCATATTTGACCGGATTGCATAATGGCAAATACTGCGTGGAGTTAGTAGTGAACTTACCCATTGTCTTGTGCTGGTTATTCCTCGATTTTTTAGCTATATTCTTCATGTGAACTATGTTTATCATCAGAAGAGTTTATATAATTCAATTAATCTGATTGGCATCTTTTACAGATAACTGAATATTTATTATATTAGAAAAAAAAATCTTATAATTATGTACGTACTGTGATTTGCCTCCTCTGAATTGCATATATGCATCATATTACTAATCTGGATCACCGGCATAAACTAGACTTTGTGATTTCAGTTGCAAAGAAGACAAGTGAGGCATACATTCCCTTTGATATGTCCCAAATTATTATAAATTTGATTTACTGTTTACTGGAATATATCTTCTGACCGATCCCATTCAAATTTCATTTCAATGAGACATAATGCGCATTTGTCTTCTTGAATATGTTTTAACATGAGGATATAGTCAACTATTAGATCAAATTCACAACCTTTTTCTTTGTCTTGGCCCATATATCTGATAAGTTTTTCCTGAATAGATAGTCTCAATTCGTGCTCTAGCTGTCTTTTCTTTTTTGCCTTCTCAATCTCTTAGGTAATTTCAGGAGGTAATGGAGGTACTTCGACCTGAATGAGTTGGCTTAAATATTCCACACGACCAACTGCTAAATATATTAGGTTATCCTAGGCTAGGTTTTCATCAATGACCCAAACACGCTGTGGAGCATTCCTTGACTAGTGTGAATAGTCATAGCATATCCAAATTCCCAATCTATGACTTTTTTATTTGCCAACATATCTTTTAAGAATTCGTCAGGGAGTGTATCTAAGGATAAGTATATTATATCATTTTTTACTAACTCCCTTTTTTCAGATAAGCCAGAAATCAGAACAAGGTAATTTAGTTTGCGTCTATCTCTTAGTCTATAGATTAATAGGATCAGCACATTGAGATATTTTGCCCGATGAAATTCTAAGCATTTTTGGGAAGCAATTCTTTGAGAAAGTAAATGTGCTAATAAGATACGATCTAATGGCTTCCATTCAGCTTCAAGATATTCTCATTTTTCGTTAACTGGAAGTGCTTTACGGAATAGGTCTGACTGTACTCTATTATTTTGCCGTCACATTTTTTTCTTAAGCTTTTGTAATCTAGAGCATTTAATCCGATAATCAGTCAAGACTTCCTCATAGTAATCAGCTCGCTCTTTTAACCAGTCATGAGGCATTTTTCTGAAGAATGGTAGAGGCTGAGCATCGTCTCTACAGCAAATTATTTAGCATTTTTGCTCTAGTAAGTAGTTGATAAACTTCTCTAGAATATGTCTAGGCACTGTATATACTTCATCCCAGATGACAACTCATAGAAATTTCTTTTCTCCCATGCATTCAGGAGTCCACCCTCCTACACCATTCCACCTAAAGAAGCTATGCCAAGTTTAAGCTTTTACCTTATGATCATTCTGAAAGTCTTTAACCAATACATTCATATGAGTAAAGACTATTATGTTTATATCTTTAAAGATTCAGATTACGCGTATTGTCTTCCCAGAATCACCGCTTCTATTGAGATATAAAACTCAGGATCTTGTAATAGGATCACAAATTGATGGAGCAGTACTTTCGGTAATATTTTTAATCGATTCCCAATGCCTATTTTTTGGCCAGTATATAACATTTGGATCTGGGCCATAGATTTTTTCTCCTTTATCACGCCATTGGCCAGGCTGAATTTCTCGAATCTTTTCCTCTTTTAGTAGCTCAGACTCTTTGGTAACAACTCTACTAGGTTTGGTATTCTTCTAAGAACCTAAGCGAAAATACTATTCCCCAAAGCAAACAGCACATACGAATGGCTTATGCTCGTTATATGACAAATAGCTCGATTTTTTGTTCATGTAGTGAACTATCACTTCTTTGATAAATTCTTTGACTGCTTCTTTTGAATAATAGCCTCCTGCTTCACATATTGCATAAGAAGGAATTTTATGTGAACATTGAAACTTACTGGTATCTGCTGAATTTTTAGATTGACTGCCTTGCAAAATGCCTAAATAGCTAGTCTTTTGCTTAGCTTGCTTAAAGAAGGCAGATACATTTTCGATCTTATATAAGACCTCTTTTTATATATATATAGAATTTGTTGCGATTCTTACCACTTCATTAGAGCCAAATCTCCAGAGCATTTCTAGCAAGTTTATATAAGCATAAACTAATATTGAAGCTCGCAAATGTGTATATTGAGGCTGATGACCTTCGTAATATGTGAGTATATGTCCAAGTGGACATTTATCACTACCTGCATATGTTCCCTCTTTAATGCAATCCTGGATCAAGAAATCAAGTTCACCTTTGTCTATTACAACCCAGTGGGTAAGGCGTTTTTCTTCAACTTTATTTCCCTGTGTGAACTTTCTTATGATTGCGTAACTTATATCCTGATTTTTAGGCAACCATACCTTCATTTGCTTAGTAAGAGAAATAATAGCTTCTCTTATAGTTATACTTTCTAGGATACCTACTTCGAGAAGATATTGTAGAAGTACAATAGGTGTCCATCCTTTTGTCTTCTCACATCCTTCTCCACTTTGACAGGCAAAATGTTTTCTATACCAAACAGGAATTGCTGGATGAATATTAGGAACAAATTTGAAAGTTCTTACCTATGCAAATCTGGTTATATTATCGTCTTGTGGCAATTCTCCGTTCACTGCTACTCAAATAAGATAGTGTGTTGGATGCCCAAACTATTTAAACTATGGTGAACACTCTCCTTGACCACGCATACTTGCCGGATAGCATTCCTTTATGTCTATATATATAACATCTCTGACTTAATAATTAGGTATATTCCAGTATCTTTCATGCCCATGTTCAACACAAGATTGCTTTATATTTTATGTATACTAGCCAGAGTAGGATGCCAATCATTGATCTCGTTGGCAAATTTGCCTCTGGCATGATTAGCACCAAATACCTGTTCTGCTAACTCAACTATTTTAAGCAATTCTAGAGACTCCCGCTTTCTTTCTTCATTAATTATTCCTTTCCGAAGTTGCCAGTCTACTGCATTCTCAAATAATTCCTTACATGCTTTTATGATATCTGTATGTTTCATCCATATCTTAAATATACAACCATCTTCTAGGACAAACTGTGATACTGATTGGATTTCTTCCAGTGTTTCGCCTTTCCCAAGTCCAAATCTAATAAGCTATATTACTTGTGAACCTTGACGAGCTTTATTGATAGCCATCCATGCATTATCATTATAATATTCTACCATTCGATCTCTTGGAAAATGATGGTTTCTAGGGAATGCGTAGCCATTGTAGACTACCATTTCTATCTCTTCAAACTTACCTGTTTGATATTTTCCACTATTAAAAATAACTCTATGGGTAATATCATGCAATGTGATTGGTCGTTTAAGTATCTTTTCCAATTCTGCTACATCCTCTACTCGAGCACCAAGTTGACGCATTCTTTTTTCCATATGCTAATTTTTTGCTTACGTGTACTAATCAGACTATACCCTCTTTTTGCTTTTTCAAAATGCTCTATTACTCGCTAGGCCACACAGTTGAATGCGCCATCTTTTATTAACATTAATTGTTTACTATCTGGCTCTCGGATTTTATATAATCCATAGACGACTGCATTAGCTGTAAGGTCATCTATATCAGATTCTATTGAGACCTTTCTAACTA